AAAACATTTTATGCTACTGAGGAAGAAAATGAAGAAATGAGCAAAAGCAAGACAAAAATATCCATGCGGATGAATTGCGGCACGTAATCACTTAGATGTAAAGATTGCGTGACATCGATCTGGGTCTATTTTTCAGTTCAATTAGTTCCTTCACTTCTTGCCTCTTTTCATTAGAAGCATTCGATACAAAACTCAAAAAATACCCAGAGGAGGCTATATCTGCAAGTCATGGATCCAGGTTCCGCAAAAATATTGCACAAAACAGAGAAACTAAAGGTGCCGTAGCCGTATGAACAGGCCGGTGGCTGAGCACGGTAGCAAGACACAGGAAAATTAGCGAAGAACATCAAAGTTATTTGCATTCAAACACCAATTTGGAAGGTACGCTGTCATCGAAGTATTAGGGACCTTTAGCAGTGACGACGAGAACGTGAACGTGACCGACCGGAAGTTGGGACAACGAACTTCGATGCTACCACGCATGCCCAATCGAGCACGGTCGTCGTCCACATCTCGTTCAGGACGCCACTTGCCGCCATTCGCCGTCGTGACGAGAACGTGAGTATGTTTTATTTGTTTTCTAATTTCTACTTGCCTATCAAAGGGTTTTCTTCAATCTAAAGGGTCGGTTAGGGAATAAAAACAGTTCCGAAAGTAATTTGATCGAACCGTGATGGAAAAAACTTTATTTCTTTCGAGTTGCAGATTGAGCTTTACAGTTTACAGCAGAGAAAGCAATGGCGGATGATGATAAAAGTGCTGCAGGGTATGTGCCTAGCCTTATAAATGCTTTTCTAAATATAAATCGCGGATATTTCGTTATAGTTTTGTAATTTATACCAGCTGGCATATTTAACAAGATTTCTGGGCTTTGAAAAATATCCGAACCGCTCGGATCAACTGTGTATGTAAACTTAGCTTAGCTCTGAATCATTTGACGTTGATTACAACACTGGAAAAAAGTTAAATTGTTTTAGTCGATAATTTTTGCATTTTCAAACTAGCAGTAAAGGACTCGTCAAGGTAACCGATGTGCTAAAGTATTTATGTTTCCCGCCGTGGACGACGGTCCTGTCCCAGGCCTAAATCGGTCATATACGACGTCGTCCACGTACTCGTCGTCAGTGCTAAAGGTCCCTATTATCTCAGGTTTACTGGACAGTTTAATGGGAAATGGCAGGTTTTTTTTTTCTATGGTTTGTTCAGAAAGCGAGCTAAGGCTAGTCGAATTGTTTACATTTCCTGGTGAAACAACATCTCTTCGAAAGGTCAAATTGGGTCAACTTGAGTGGGGCCGCTCGCCTTAGAAATAACTGTAGCCAAGATAAAAAATATATCACGTTCAAAAACAGCTCTTGCACTTGCTAGAATTTAATTTTGAAAGAATTCTACATAATACCGAGTATGTCTTGGGATGTTTGAAAACGGTATGGAATTTTTGATTTTCAGAGTCAAGAAATTTCGGCTCTCTTCGCTTGCCCTCCAGGAATTCGGAATTACTATTGTAAGTCTAAAATATCATCAAGGCAGCCTAGCAATACCTCCTTAATAAAATTATAAACTAAGGAAAAACATAATTTGTTATGCGCCTTCACGCGAGTTCGATTATCTGATCAGGAAATTTGACCTCATTTCTGTGATTTTTCGGCTTCACGGGTGGTCGACGGGTTTTCGTAATTTTCTCAAAAATGTAAAAACTCTAGAACCTAAAACTTATATCGCGATTCCTAGCATATTATAGGTTATCTCTGGACGAAATTTCAAGGGGTCCATTTTTCCGACCTTGTGCCGCCCCTCACGCGGTGGTTAGGTAGAGTGACTCTTAAAACGGAACAGAGGTAAATCTTCGAAGATTAATCGTCGTTGGAAAAAAAAGATCTCTAACTGTTTTTCTTTTTACGAGAAAATCCTCACATGATCATTTAACTAGTGTGTGTTTGTCACACCAGTACTGCTGTTTAGCGTATGCTTCTTTACTCTTCAATTGACAGGTGTCACATCGTGACAGTTACTTATCAAAAAAATGTTTCAAAATTTGCTCGGAAGCCTTTACTTACCTTTACAAATAAAAATGTTTCCGCGAAAGCTTTCTCATTAATTTGAAGAACCCGAATGATTAAGGGCTACAATTACGAGTTTAATTACGGGAAAATCCTCCTTGAACTTAACAATTTGATAGCGAGTGAGTTATAAAGAAAACAAACGAGACAACAACGTAACCACATCCGCAACTAAAATAATTCGTAACAAAGAAATCAAATTCGGCTTAGGCTAAATGAATCGTTTGTGGTATCCTTAACATACATCAAGCTATCCAAAATGCTACAGGTTATATGTACATAAGTTCGTGCATGAAAAATACAGAGAAAGGAAGATGAATGAGAAGAAAAGATTCTTGAGTTGAATTTTTTCCTTTAATTTTGATGTAAAGTTCCTCAGAAAATGCCTGACCCTGACGACCTCAATTCCGTCGGCAAAGCTTTTAAGGAACTTTCCAAAAATATCCAACATCCCTGCTTTAGCCCAAATAAACCGGAACACTTAGCGTCTTCTTTTAATAATCCAGAGCAAAAAGGAGAGCTAACAGTGAGAGTTTGTGTTGTTTTTCTCCTTCTCAATTTCTTCCTTCGCTTATTCTTGGTTAAAAACAACTTGTTTTATAATTTTTATAGTCATACTTGAGTCGTGATCTCTCGCCAACTTCCGTTGTTTCCTCCCAAGTCACACCTTGAGTGACCGGAAATTACGTCAAAACCTTAATTAGTAGTCGAAGCGCAACTTTCTCTTTCGCACCGTCCTCGTCCAATGCAGTGAGCGATGAATGTAGTAAAGGTGTTTGTAGTGATACTTCTTGGAATTGATTTGTTAGTGTCAATAACGGGTAAGTGTGAAATAAATTGTTGATAATTCTAAAACTCTTGAAGCATGATCATGTACTTGCGAGCTTTAAAAATAATGTATTATTCGGTTATTCTAGATAGTGACGTTTGATTATTGATTTATTCTGAGCTTCAAACCAACCCAGCACTTTACTTTCGAGTTGAATCAAGAGAAGATGAATTCCTGAGAAAAAGGCTCTCGGGATAGTTTGCGTTTTGGTCGATTACAACAAAGATTTTTCAAGACTTGAAAGCCGAGCGACGGACGAGGATGTCGTAATTTGCATTGTGAAGGAAGTGGTGGTTTGCGTGTTAAAATCGATCATTTACGATCAAATTTATCTATACTATATCATGGTTTGATAATCATGTTGAATAACCCAACATCTCCCATTAGCTTTCATCCAGTTGTAGTTTTAAAGCTGTTTGCCTTGTTTACATCACGACATTTGCGCTGATCGAAAATCGAGAAACGATTGTGATTGTGACCAACTGAAGTCACAGTACATTGAACGTGACATGCAACATGTAACGCAACCCAGAAGTGTTGCATAGGAAAATTGTTTGATTTATACAGTGTACTGACTTTTTATGATAGTCACTGTGTTGTATATTACAATACTTGCATATTCAAATGAAAACCAAGTAAATTAAAAAGATGCGAGAAAGTTTTAGATAACTTTAAGCGCCCGTCTTACTTGCGGTATGGGTGAAATTTGAAGAAGGTTGAAATATGTTTCCCACTACCCAGCTCTTCCTTCTGTGTATATTAGGTCCGCATAACATTGTAGCCACCTCTTCGAAACTTTTCCAGCTTGCTGACAACTTACGATAAACAAAGAAACAAAAATAAGCAAGTGAATGGCAATTATCGTTTACGATAAATGCATGATTAATACTGAACAGCCGGCCATATCATGGCGACGACGAAGGACGGCAACCGGCAACGACGATGGTAGCGACGATGATGGAGGGGGGAGGCAAGAAATAGAGGAGGAGGGGAGTGGTGATAATGATGATAACGATTACCTTCAAGAGAACTTTAAAATTGATTTCTGAACGTGACAGTTAACCCAGTAAACACGGCATTCTTTCATAGACACACACAGACACACTTCACGGTCACTAATTATTGGTTTAACTTCTATGTAATTGTGTTATTCTAGACGGAGAGAGGCTGTGTTCGTGTTATGCCTTTGGCAAAGGAAAAAATTATTGGCCATATGCTAAGAAATTCTGCGAAAAGAGCAACAAAACACTCGTGGTTATCGAAACAGAGCAGGAATGGCAATTTATTACATTTGAACTACTAAATAAAACAGGCAAAAAAGGTGATGAATGGTTTATTGGCTTGGAAAAAGCAACAACAGCACGGGTATGGACTTGGATCAATGGTAAACCCTTGACAATTGACAAATGGCATAAGGTGGGCACAAATCCTGACACAAGCGACCGTTACGGGCTGATTCATAAAGAATATCCAGTTGGATTTGAAGGATCACTTAGCACCATTAAAGACCATATAGTAAGAAAATGGATTTGCGAGGAAGAAACAGGTATTGATCAGTACCAGAAAAAGTAAAACGTTAGTTGTATTCAACGTTTGAGTTTTCCATAAGCTACTCTTACCATCCCTACCCCGTCCTTTATCTTTCCTATCCCCACCTTACTCTTTCCGAAGGCCACCTTACATCAAATAGCTTATGATCACCAGGGTAGCAGACTCCGTTGTACTAGCCGTACTTTTTTTATATACTTTAATCACCGATTTAAGGTATTTAATTGGGCAGCCTGAGAAACAACGCACTTCCTCGTAATCGGAATATTACTCGACAAATGTATTGTGGCAGTGGCTGTGGTTATGTTTCTTTAACAGCTACCTGTCGAGGCAATTGTTTCGTCCATCCATCGCCATCCAGCACAAGTCCTTCCCAAACATCAACTGGGACGAAAGCCGTTACTACACAAGACAAGACGTCAACTGAACAGAATATCATTGACGTATCAGGTAAGATCATCGACTGATTGTTAATTTAATGATAGTTGAGAGCAATTTCCATCAGGTAGCCGGAGGCTGATTTTTTTTGTTTTGAATTGTTTCTGATTTTTGTTTTTCGACGTTTTTTTCGTATGTTTGTTTGTTTTTAGAAAAGCAAAATAGAATTCGTTGAATTTCACAGTCGTTTTCCTTTTTTCAAGGTTTCTTGTTCGTTTGTGAGCTTGAAGGTTGACAGTCGGTAAAATTAGGATGAAGTATACATTGTAACAACCAGGAGCACTATTTAGGATAAGTCAATCACGACTTTATGTTAAGTATTAATGCATAAAATCTAGGTTCTTCGACAACTGTTTCCACCCCTACCACGACGAAGACAACAGACAAAGCGAAATCAAAATACAAAGCCCTCGTGGATGACAACAGAAGTTCTTCCCTCACAGTAGTGATTGTAGCCGCATCTCTAGGCGCAGTGTTCTTCGTAGTGTTGATCATTCTCTTTGCAGTCTTATTACTAAGGCGGAAGAAACGTCAGGGAAAAGGTAAAGAGTCTCTAATGGTTCTAAAGGTTAAACCATTATTATTATTTCTCACACGAAAAGATTTGTCATGATATAATTGAAGCTAATTACTGACCTTCTGTCTCTCAGTGACTGTTAAAATGTTATTATTCAAATCATATTTATTTCAAATTGAATCCTTGGTTTATAAAGTCGAACATCTCTGCAGTTCCTATGTGGGAATTAACATGTTTAAAGACCGTAAACTGGTTTAAAAACTCCCAAATCTTTTTCCTTTGTCCACTCCGTGCTTACAAGCTTATATGCACATTTTTTTTTTTTTCAATGTAGCCACTATTTTTTTTTTTTTGTTAAGATATAAACAGCGGTCTTAACTGAGGCTATGATTTCGACATTAGAAGCTTTTTTTCTCCAGATGCAGAGAGCGCACCGCCGAAGAAGTCAACGCCGAACTGGTCAGCATTTCTTATTTGTTCGTTTTACTAGTTATTTTTTCTCAATTTTTTTTCAGCTTCTGACAACACATCGTCACCAAATGACAGTAGTACTCATTGAATTATATAGGGTTAGAGTAAATTCAGCACAGGAGTTTTTCCTGGAAATCCTATCCACTCGTAGCATAAAGCAATTACAAGCACTGCTACTTCTTTCTTTTCCTAGAAATAATTTTAGTCCATAGCAGGATCACCCCTCCCCCTTGCATTTCGTGAGGTGTCCAGGTTAAATGTGGTTTCTCGGTACCAATCAATACTCCTGGATGGAGAACACCACTGCGAGAACTGAGTCTCAAACCCCTGGCAAGTACTTGAGTTTTCAGATTCTTTAAGACTGTAATATATGTTCGTCCCGTACACATCCATGAATTCCTTGTTAGTTGCCTAAACATCTTTAGACAAAATAACCTGCAATGGAAGTGATTTTTAGAAGGATACTCAAACAGCATCTATCACCGT